ATATAAAGATTCTTGGATTTCTTATTAGAAACCATGTAATTCATACTTATCGCTAAGTTTGAGTTCGACGGTGGAGAACGCCACAAAAAACTAGTTGCAAGGTTGAGCCCGCCAGTTGTATTTGTCTCAATTCATGGCCAGATGCACTCGGTGTATATAACCCTCTTTTTGTCCTTTTTTTTTGTTGCTCTGACTTCTTGTCTCAATTTGCTAGTTGATGTATGTAATACTACATATTTACAGCTGATATATATTTTCTGATTTTTTAGTATTAAATCCTAAGATTAACTAAAACTTAAGTATTTAGGGGGTTTATTCGTGAAAAACAACAAACATTAGTGCCGTCCTCGTTGATATTTCCCTGGCCGATCGAAAAGCAACAAGAGTTTATTTTCTTTTTGTGGATAATTTGTTTTTATATTACAATTTACAGCAAAAATATCTCATCGGTATGGGTACAGATCATCATCAAATTTAGTTAAATTATTAATTCTAAATAATATTATACCAATAACGTATTTTTATACACTACCACAAAAGCTTCTTATTTTCATTTAATTTTATCATAAACAATACGGACATTATCTATATTACAAAATATATGTCTTTGTCAGCATGCATTATTGGAAGCACAAGCAAGTCGTCAAGTAAAAAATTATGTCTAGATTCATTCCCCTGCATGTACAAGAAGCCAAAATAGTTTCTGCAACTTACCCTTTGTTGTTAAGTCGCGATTTCTCTGAGTTTGATCAAATATAATCATGTGTTTCTGTGAGAAAATTTTGTTATAATATCTCTCTCTCACTCACTTCACTCCTCGTCCATAAAAATAATCCTTACTAATGTTTTCTTGCAATAACTAAAGACATTTTAAAACATCTCTAATACAATGTTACGTTTTGATACTAACGTTAAAATTTCCCATTTATAGTAAAAGAATCATTTTCAAATATAACTATGTTTATAGCAGTATAGCACCAAATAGAATATGCATCAAATTTTTACAGTTGTTACTTCTTGATTGATGTGTTCACCTTTTCACTACTTTATGATTAGGATAATATCAAATGCATAACATATAAAACATGCCATTTTTATTTGTTTTTTTGTCCAATATTCGCGTTATTATTGGAGACGGTCTTGTTATTAATACTACGAGGAAATTCTCTAGGAAAGTTTCTTTTCATCAAATTTTTTTTTTCTTATTTACTGCATGTTGCTGACATCTATTATTTTTAAATGCTCACTTAAAACTCGTTGGAGTCGAGATTATATTTGACATGATTGATCGCTATTACGTGTCCGTACCGAACCATATTAAAGGCCAGATTCACTCATGTATAAATACTTTTTTGTTTTTCTAGAAACTCGTATATATATTTAGCACACAAAAAAAAAAAAAAAACTCACAAATATATAATTTTTTTTGGCTTCTTGTTACATATATAGATACTAGTATACTGATTGCCCTTTTCTTTTTCAAATAATCCATTACAGTATTTCAAAAATTAGGCCCGTTTAATTAATAATATTTTGAAGCACTAGTTCTTCCTTTAAAGTGGCTTTTCTTATCGATTAATCAGATTATTTTAACAAATAAAAAAATCCAGCCACTAGCGTTGTAGTACCACTGTATAGATAAGATCTTAATATAGAAAAAAAAAAGTTAAATAACAAAACCATCAGCTCAAATAGAAAATATCCTATAACAGGGTAGGGAAAAAAAAAGCCTTAATATTGTAGCCACAAAATTGAATAATCAAATTTGCATACTGATTAATTTTGAACAGTTTTAAGGCTCCCTTAAGGTGAATCAGGCATTCGAAATATTTTTAACAAATTAAACGTAATATATCTTGAAAATTAAATGTCACCTATTTTAACTTTGATAAGTCCGCTCATTTCTTATTCGTTGAAACAAATACTGACCTAAATTTTTGTCGGTTAAGCTTTTTAAATTATTGGTTTTGCAATGTACGCGATCCCTTCACATAGTAAGCACGACTTTATATGGTTATGCCAAATTGCTAATTGCAAGTGGATGATGGATTTATCATAATTAATTACGTAAAATAAATAATTAAGCGGCAAAGATGAGTGGAAAAACCAAATTTTCGCTTCGAGAGCAAAAGTAATTGTCTATTATGAGGTTGTTTGATGTGCAAAACTCAATTGGTACATGGACCGTGGTTGAACATATAATTAACTTCTTCCGTTAAATTTGCTTTTTCTAACTATATACAAGGGAAAAAAAAAAAAAAACAGAGAGAGAAAGAAAAGTTTATCTGTGAATCATTGATGGGATATACTAGTCATACTAGAAGAGTAAGGAATCTGAGAAACGTTGAATGAGAAAACGACACGTTTCAAGCCGACAGGTGATAGAGCAGCCTATTGGCTGTTGATTTAGAACGCTGGCAAATTATGAATCCGGCCGCAAACTTTACCACATTCACTGCCTCCCCAAACAACGCCTCTATATTATATAGTTGTGTTCCCGTCTTCCGCTGTTTCTCTCTAGACTATAATTAGACGCTAGAACCTCACCTACTGATCTTTTCACATTATTACTGCAACTAAGCGTTGTCTCAAAGAAGAGAAGAGACGAGAAGAGAGAGAAAGTAAGAGAGAGAGAGAGAGAGAGAGAGAGAGAATATGGAAGGCAATTCCAAGAAGAGCAGTACGAAGGGAAAAAAGGATGACCTTTATCATGTTATTCACAAGGTCCCTTCTGGTGATACTCCTTATGTTAGAGCCAAGCATGCCCAGGTAATTCATTCATTAGTTCGCTTAATTAATTTCTCTTAGTCTCTAATATATATATCTTTTGGATCTATCAATAAGCTTATTATTATTTCATGAATAGCTAAATATTAGGCTCTCAAGTATAATAATTATGAGTGGAAAACCTTTGCTTTGTAAGATTGTTCAGTTAATTATTTCATGAGTAGTTAATTATAACCTCTTATTTACTTTATCATGATTAATTCTGTGCGCTCTTTTTTTTTTTTGGTGAGGAAAGTAATATATATTTTTAGTTTAGAAATAGTGGTCTGAACTGTGTTATGACTGTAGTGGTACCGGTCCTTTATAATGCGTGGTCAAATTAGGTATCAAGTTATTATTATCAGGGCTTTTTTGCTATAGCATCTTTTGATGAACTACAATTCAAATATCGTCTTTCCGATATTGAAGGACCACTGCATCTTCTTTTCTAGTTATCATACTAGCTTTTTATCCAAATCTTGAACCGATTCACAAAATTTGTTCTATAATTCTATTGCCCAACAAGTTGAAAGATCTTGGGATTCTCCAAATAAACATGAACTACAGAAACCCTAAAACTCAGACATGGGCGCGAGATCGGTGGCGATTGATTTTTTTTTTTTTTTTTCTAATACATATTTTCAACATAAAATACACCATGCTCTCTCTGATAAATTATGTTGATTTTTGGTTTGGAGTTGAATCTGCTTTTGATTGTAGATCTTATGGATATCTAGATCTACTATTTCATGACTTAGAAGTTTCACACACACACACACGTATATATATATATATATATATATATATATATATAGTTCCTTCCATTTGAGGCCAGCTAGACTTGGGTGGTACTAGTCGCAGCAGATATCTGTTTAATTCTGTCCTCGTGATTTTTTTTCCTAATTTCGTTTATTTTCTTATGTAGTGCAAGTGTATATAGTAATCTCTCTTTTGAACGAAAATATATTATAAAAAAATGAATATATACACATATATTGCTAAAATCGAATCTTACTGGTCATCTAGAATTTCTTTGTATTTTTTTATTTATACTTAAAAATTTCTTTAAGCTTTTACATACTTAGAGAGGTGATAGTACGTTTTTATTTTCCTTATATATATATGTATGTATATATGCATGTATATGCACATATTTCTCAATAAAATGACAATATATTTTTAAACAAGGACGTGAATCCTATAATATATATGACATTGTGCTATATATATGGATAATATCAATTGATGAATCCATTCCTTTCCTTTCTTCATTGTATATGTATTGATATAATAACCTACGACAGAAAAATTAAAATTAATTTATATGTGTGTGTGCTCTTCATAATATTACCAATTATTAATATATATGGGCATGAAATGAGTGTGATTGAGAATATATTGTCGATTTCAACCAAAGCGCGATCGAATATTAGAAAACAATACAATATCTGATTTGACTTGCCCAATATCCACAAAAAAAAAAAAAAAAAAAAATTCACGAAAGGTAAAGACGTGGGACCAATACCACGAACCTATGTGTCATTTTTCTTTATGACGACAGCCTTTTTCTATGCCGTTATTATTTTGTCCACCACTGGGCCATTTATCTTTCACTAGCTAGGCACGTTAACAGTGTGTTTGGTAGAGTGAAAAAAAGAAGAAGAAAAGAAATTAGAGAAAGGTTTTTAAAGAAAAAAATGAAATATTGTGTTGTTTGGTAGAGAAAAATGAGGAAAGAAAGAAAATAGAAATTTGTGAGGCTCACAATTTTTAATCCTTAAAACTTAAAGATGAGAGAAAATTTTGGTAAATAAATGAGGTGTAAAATAATTATTTTAATATTTAACCATTCATCATATTTTTATTTGTATAGGATTACTATTGTAAATTGTACTGAATTTAATTTTTTTTACTTTTTTTTCTTTTCTACTAAACAACATGAGAAAAAATTCACATTCTACTATTTTATTTATTTTATCTAGGTATTTTACTTCTTTTTTTTTTCCCTCTTTTCTATCCATCCTACTAAACATAAAATAAGGATCGATTATTGATACCTCCTTAATTTTCCTATTTCAAAATAATTTCTTATAAAATAAATAGAGAAATACTATAATAAAATATAAAAGAGATATTCACTTGGCTGTCTTTAAATTATAGACCTCATTAACATTAAAGTTTGGCGTGGATCTAATGATAGGATAGGCTTACACTGCTCACTTGCTCTGTATTCTTAACCCACAACACGTGTATTTATTGTCATAAAATCTCTAAAGTAATAAAATAGTGAATTTACTTTTTGATGGAAGTAATAAATTATTGTGTGTTTACTAACCAAATTGTTGCTAAACAGTGAAAAAAAAAAAGCCATGTACATAGTTGACGGTTCTTACGATATAATTAAGCCATGAATTCTAAATACTCAATATTAATAAATAAAAACACTATAATATTAGGGAGTTTCTACTATAAGAAATGAACTACATCGTTTATTTTTTTATTTTTAGTCGTCATATCTATATTACAAATTATTTATTCTGTATATTTTTTTAATCTGGTGTGATTTTAATCAGATTTAACGACAAAAACTAACTCTAATAAGAGAAAGGTCATACCAGAAAAAGTTCCCTAATATTAACAAGCTGTGAAACTTCATTTGCAGCTAGTTGACAAGGATCCAGAAACGGCACTAGTATTGTTTTGGGCGGCCATAAACGCTGGAGACAGAGTGGACAGTGCACTCAAGGACATGGCAGTGGTGATGAAACAGCTCAACAGAACCGAAGAAGCCATTGAAGCAGTCAAGTCATTTAGACGCCTATGCTCTAAACAAGCCCAGGATTCACTTGATAATGTCCTCATTGATTTATACAAGGTAACTCAACTGCATCCTAATTTTTATTCCTCACGTATACATAGAAATGCATGCATGTCGTACTCTATATATTAATTCTTATATAGTTATGAAAAAAAAAAAAAACGTTAGCATATTCTATTAGCTAGGTTATCAACAAAAAGACTCATCAGAGCTGAAACGAGTTTTCGTTGGATGCGTTTCGTAAAACTTATAAATACACAAGTATTTAGCTAATTTGTTGTATAATATATTGATCTGCAGAAATGTGGAAAGATTGACGAGCAGATTGATTTGCTAAAACGGAAGCTGAGAGCAATATACCAAGGAGAAGCCTTCCATGGAAGACCTACCAAGACTGCCCGTTCGCATGGCAAGAAGTTCCAGGTTTCTGTCAAGCAAGAAACGTCAAGATTGTTGGTAAGTATCTTCCTCTTAATTAATAAATTAATCGCCAATTAACTTCCTTAATAAACTAAAGGACGTTTTTACTAATTATTAATAGATGGTGATATTACGGAAGAAAAAAGGTGGAAAAGGAAAAGAAATCAAGCATTTGATAACAAACTTATCCATTAGGAATTAGAGTTATATAATCATCTCATATTTTTCTTTTCTTTGTTGCAAACCCCGCATATTTACATTTAGATTATGCAATTCTCGATGAATAATGCAAGAGATCCAAACTTTTCAATATCAAGTTAAACAACTCACTTGTGAGTTGTTATTATATTATTAGTACGTATTGAAAAAAATTGTCAAATCAATTAATATAAAAGTTGCGTTTACTAATGAGAATGTGATAATTCATTGCCACTGCGTAAGTTGGCGCAAAAAGCAAGATAAAAATTCTACCAAAAAAAAAAAAAGGTGATATAAAGGTTGAGCTTCAGTCATATTCAGTTAGCAGCTGACTTGGCATTCCATGTGATGATATTACAATGACTTAAGAGAAAATATCAACTTTTGCAGGGAAATTTGGGCTGGTCGTATATGCAGAAGTCCAACTTTATGATGGCGGAGGTAGTGTATCGGAAAGCCCAGATGATTGATCCAGACGCTAACAAGGGCTGTAACTTGGGCCTATGCTTGATCAAACAAGGTCGGTACGCTGATGCGAACTCCGTTCTTGATGATATCCTGCAAGGAAGAATTCCCGGTTCTGATGAGTACAAGGCCCAGAAAAGGGCCCATGAATTGAAACAGGAGCTTCAGTCCAGAAATTTCCTCCCAGAATCGCTAGACCTATTGGGCCTGGATGATGATTTCATCAACGGGCTTGAGCAGTTGATGAATGAACGAGGCCCATTTAGGTCTAAGAGACTTCCCATCTTTGAAGAGATCACTCCATTTAGAGATCAATTGGCGTGTTAAATATTTTCCATCAAAAAAAAAAGGAAAGAGAAAAAAGAGAAAAAGGTGTTGGCGTGTTAATATATTTTAAGTGCTGTGGTGGAATGTGTTGTCCATAGGGTGTGTTAGGTTATGATTGATGTAGTGAAGATAAATTAGAATAAGCCCACTTGTAAATGGAGGACAAGTGAAAGGAGTCTTGTAAAAACGTTGTATTGTCAAGCTCAAAACGTTCACTTAGGTTAGTAATAAGCAAGTAGATGAGGTACCAACATGCTATTGGTCCCATTCAAAAACCCCCTTTTTTTTTTTTTTTTTTTTTTTTGGGTAGGTCGCTACTCATCCAAATAGAAGGTTTTCTTGTGCTCTATTTGATTCATTTTGCGCTTTGAAATAGTTTTTTTTTTTTTTTTTTGGGTGCTAATTTTAAATTAGTATGTTTAATTCCACGGTATCTAAAAAAAAAGAGTCGATTACTGGTTCAACACATACTTGTGTCTTTTTAAAAATCCATGGCAACGTATAAAGTAAGAACAGAAGGGGAAGCATGAAAAGTGTATCAAAGGGAGCATCAAGAAAAGAATCGCTACATATGAATTATCAGGTTCTTTTGCTTGGTTGTGTTTGGTTTAAAGGCTGTAAAATCTTGTTAATAATAATGCAACGCAAATGAAATGAACCACCCCCATTTCCTCCTTTTTTTTTCTCTCTGTTTTTTTTTTCCCCCTCTGACCCTTTCTTTTCTTCTTCTTCTGGCCGAAATGCTCTCTCTCTCCTCTTCTTCTGGCCGAAATGCTCTCTCTCTCTCTCTCTCTAAGCGCAATCTAAGCTTTCTTCCTTTGGTTTCACCACCGACCTATTCACTAACTAGAAGGCCAATTTCTGCAGCAAAGGACAAAAAATTTTGGAGCTCTTAAAATTTTGAGGTAGGGCTTTCTCTCTTTAAATGATCTCAATCCGAAATTTCTCAATTGAATATTTGAATTGATGTACCTGAGGCTGGGTGGGTGAAAACTCTTCAATACTTCTTTTTCTTTCATTATTGTTTTTGGGAATAAACACACGTTACTCCGTTGAACTTTAACACATTCTGTCGTTTAGCCCGAGACTGAAAATTACAAACTCAACTCCGTAAAACATTTTTCTAGCAACAACTCCGTAAAACATTTATCTTTCTTTCTTTCTTTGTTTTTTTTTCCCCTCCCATTTTCTTATCATTCATGTTGGAACAAACAGAACATGCAAATTTTAGGACGTATAAAACTCATTTTAAAATAATTTTATTTTTATATAAAAATAAAAATAAAATCATTTTAAATAAAAAATATTTTTAAAAATATTTTTAATAGTTTTATTAATAGATTATTTCAGTATAAAAAATTCATTAATTTGAGAAAAAAATAAAAATAAAAAATAAAAAATAATAAAAAATTATTATTTTTTTTCTTATTTTATATTAAACTAAAAAATTATTTTTATTTATGTGTTTTTATTTTTATTGTTTCAAATGTCCTTTTAAAAATTTTTTTATTTTTTATTTTTTAAAAAACGTAAGAAATAATAATGAGATTAATTTTAAACAAGACAGTGGACCTGGAAATGGAAAAAAGTACAAACAAAATATGAAAATAAATATTATCCTTGTTTCTTGGTCAGCGTGTGTAGGCGCGACCCAACCAAGCCGCCACATTTAGCTTTCCTTTAATTGGACGCATTGCCACTTTTCCATTCATTTTTTTAAGAAGGCCAAAAAAAGGCCATTCCTTTCATCTGCAGTCCATCTTAATTTCTAAAGAATTTCTGTCTATGCAATCCACCAAATCCCAAACATCAAACGTTCAAATCCAAGACCCCCCAAACTCTCAAATGGCAAATAAGGAACCGGAGATAATAACAGACAAGACCCAGATGAGGAAATGGTCAAGAGGCATGAGATCACAAGGCAAAACCATAGGCTTTGTTCCCACGATGGGGTTCCTCCACGAGGGCCACATAGCACTCGTCAAAGAAGCTCGCAACCACGCCGACCTCGTCGTGGTCTCAATCTACGTAAACCCAGGTCAGTTCTCTCCCTCCGAGGACCTCTCCACATACCCATCTGACATCAATGGCGATATTCAGAAACTCATGGCTGTTCCCGGCGGCGTTGATGTCGTTTTCCACCCTCATAATCTGTATGACTATGGAACGACAAACCCAAGTGTGGAAAATGTTAATGGGAGTGGCGGTGATGAGGAGAGAAATGTTGGGGTGGTTTCTTGTTTGGAGAATAATGGGTTGGGACATGAAACGTGGGTCAAAGTCGAGAGATTGGAGAAGGGAATGTGTGGGAAGAGCAGGCCTGTTTTCTTTAGAGGAGTTGCCACTGTTGTCACCAAGTTGTTTAATATAGTTGACCCTGATGTTGCTCTGTTTGGGAAGAAGGATTATCAGCAGCTGCGAATTATTCAGCGGATGGTGAGTTTTTTTTTTTTTTTTTTTTTTTTTTTTTTTTTTGTTGGAAAAAAAAAACATTTTGTGTTTGGTGTGTTTTTTTTTTTTTTTTTTTTTTTTTCTCATTTATTTGGTTGGAAAATGAACAAAATTCCTTTGAGCATAAATGTTGGTTGTATGAAAATAGGCTCATGGCTTTGAAAAACTGTAGGTCTATTTAGTAAGGGATGTGTTACGCGTGTGAAATTGGCTAATGTGGTGTAAGTTCTAGAGCAAGAACATTTTCTTTGAGTGGTTTATGAGAAGTTAGAAACTGGGGTTACTTGTATGTTTGATTCTGTGATAGTTTGGTTATGGATGCTCCTTGTTAACCAATTGTCTGGTTGATTTTTACAGGTTCGGGATCTTGATTTTGCCATAAAAATTATAGGTTCTGAAATAGTTCGTGAAAGTGATGGCCTTGCAATGAGTTCACGGAATGTGCACCTCTCACCTGAAGAAAGAGAGCAGGTTTTCTCCCAAGGCTTGTTAAATTTCTTACATTTCAAATTCGTTTGATTATTATTATTTTTTTTAATTTCCCATTGAAGTTTTTCTTCTTAACCTTTCAAATTTTATGAAAGATGTTGCGTCTGGTAGTTAATATGTTCTTTTTCTGTATCTCCAGGCTTTGTCAATAAGCAGGTCCTTGTCAAGAGCTAGAATTGCTGCAGAAAAGGGTCAAATTAATTGTCGAGAATTGAAAGAGTCGGTCATCAAAGCAATAGAAGAAGCAGGCGGAAGAGTTGATTATGCTGAGGTGACACATGAAACATGCTTCTTATCAGAATCCCTTGTTTCTTTTGGACATTTACAACAAAATGATGTTGGATTTTGTCTACGTACTCTGACTTTCCAAAATACTTTGGGATAGCACTTATACAGTGTGTTTGGTAGGGTGGAAAAGAGGAAGGAAAGAAAATAGAGGGATTTTGAAGAGGAAAATGAAATTTTAGGTTGTTTAGTAGAGAGAAAATGAGGAAAGAAGGAAAATAAAAATCCATAGGAGAGAAAATAATTGAGATATTATTGTAAAATAATAATTTTAACATTCACCATTTATCATATTTTTATTTATATTATGGTATTATTGTAAAATGCCTTAGATTTGACATTTTCTTTTCACTTTTCTTTCTCTTCTACCAAATAAAATGAGAGAAAACCATTTTACTTCACCTAGATATTTTACTTCTCCTTCCTTCCCTTATCTATCCATCCTACGCATTAAAGTTTAGAACAAAAGGAACATATAATCTGCTTTTTTGTGTCGACTTTTAACGTGTTAAGATATTCAATAACCGGAGCTTCTCATTCTGTCTGTGTTATAATGATGCCCCAATGAGAAGATATTTTCTACGATTTTATAACATAGTGGTGCTTTCTTCTAGCAGATTGTTGACCAAGAAAGTTTGGTGGCTGTGGAGGAGATCAAAAGTCCTGTTGTGTTCTGTGTTGCTGCCTGGTTTGGGAAGGTCAGGCTAATAGACAACATGGAGATCGACATGTGAAAAGCATGGTTCATCTAGTCTGTTTCATTTACTTTATTTCTTTATTTTCTGGTTGGATACCTTCTTTTTTTTTTTATTTTTTTTTTTAACCTTGTTATATGAGATGCCCAAATAAAACATGCATAATGCGCATGTTCGCTTTTTTGGTTATTGGAATTCCATCCTTCTATATTCTTTTGGAGATGTATTTCAATAGATTTGGTCTCTCTTTTTCATAGATGTATTGTTGTTAGAAGGGGACTACAAAAAGCAAAAGGAATTCTTGAATGACACATAATACCTTTGTTTAATGCCATTGTTTTCCCAATTACATTTTTTTTAACGTGATATGCACTAATAAATCAAAAGATGAAAAGATATGTTAAGGTAAAAATGCATGGCATGGAAGTTTGTGAGCACAAGAAAACCAGAAACACAAACTTTGGTAGGAAAACAAACGAGCTTCAACAAAATGAATACTAGCACTGCCGAACAATAAATCTGGAATGAATCACAATAGGCTGCAAATTTTCATTGTTTCAACATCAAAGAGCAATGAAATAAAGGAACAGAACACCTTCCACACGTCAAAAGACTAAAGGAGAGTGTTTGCATACAAACTATACATACACTGTCTTACAATATAGGCTATATCAGAATGTGAAATAGCAAACAAAAATAATTGTGACGGGTAATGTAAAACTGGAAGAGGAACTCGAATCCTCAGTCATGAAGATGGTCCAAATAGAGCGCAAACAGGAGCCATCAACAATTGAAGCCACCACAAACAGATAGAACAATGATGAGAATCAGCGCGAATAAGATACCCAAAACTATTAGCTTTATCTTCATGTTCTGCAACCACATTTTCCTCCTCATCTGGGTACCGTGCTGCCTGAAATCTTGTGCCTGCAATACCAATATAAAAAATAGAAGCCTTACATAGTGGGAAAAAATAAAGCAGCCCGGATTGGAGGAAAAAAGCATATAATTGAAAATGAACCAAAATCTACAAATCCAGAGTTAGACAACTAAGCCAATCCCAACTCTGAATTTATTGTGTTTAGATGGTTTTTTAACTCATTAGCTATGAAAGAGAACTTCCAGGCTCCAGCTACCAATTAATCATCCACTGTTTGGGCTTGTAATTCAACTGATTTTTGCCATCTAACAATTTGGCCCTTGCCCATAGTTCAGGACCACTTAAAGGGCAAAATTTAGACGTATTAAAAAACCCGAAATCATACGAGTCATTCTACCAATTATATGCTAATGTTTGGACTAGTAATTCAACTGGTACGTGCCATCTAATGAACTGGCAACATCCAATAGTTCAGGGCCACATAAAGGGAAAATAAAAAATATAAATTATGAAGAAACCTGAAATTCTACAAGTCATTCATAAATCAAGTCTTTAGATGACATGGCCGCTCATTAAGAGTTGTTAACCAACTAAGATGCTGACCTGAGAGCGAAGGTTCTCTGTTTTATCGACCAGAAGTTCAATCTTCTCTCCACGGTCAAGGACCTGAACATGACAAAAATATAATCAAAAGACAGCCTAGCTCCTGGTTTCTAAAGTAATGACCAACTATAAAAATCAATCTTCTCAGCACCAAAAAACCAAAAGGGGCAGAAAGGCAAGGAAAAATAGAGAGAAGTATGATTGCAAGAAAGAAAAAAAAAAAAAAAAAAAAAAAAAAAAGAAAAAAAAATTCTCCTTTTTTTTTTTTTTTTTTTTAAAAAAATTTTTTTGTTAAAAAAAAAAAAAAAAAAAAGGAAAAAAAATTCTCCTTTTTTTTATTTTTATTTTTAAATAAAGTTTTATGTTAACAAATAAAAATCAATAGAGGTTCAGGTTCACAACAGTGCCTTACCTTTTCAATATTTTCCATCATAACTCCTTTAACTTCCGAGACTTGAGCTTTAACGTTAGCAAGCTTGCTGATCTCCTCTGGATGATCTATGCAGTACTGCATGTGCTCCTTCAATTTGGGCCTGCATAGTTTTTTTGCCAAACCTTTCGCATAAGAGTAATTATTCATAAGTGACAAATCCCATCTATTTCATGGATTAGCAAAGATAATAACTTTACCCAAACTCCTTGTTCAAGCTATTAGCAACTGCTGTTGCAGCTTTTCCTCCACCATATCTCTTGGTAAAATCCTCCTTGATCCGCTCGAGAAAGGCAATTGGAATCTGTCGACCAACAGCCTCAACTGCGACCACACAGTAAGCTGCAGCATTCAAAGCTCATCTAAGTTCAAGTCTTACAGATAAATGAAGTGGTGTGAGAAAAATAGAAAATAAGAAACGTAAGAACCCATATTCTACAAACTTAGCGCCGACCAACGGTAAGATTTGCTTATATTGTAGCAAGTCTTATATGCAATAATGGAACCAGAAAACCTAATCTGATCTCCCTTTTTGGACCCGGGAAGAAGACCAGTAATATTCTATATGAGATTTTTGGAAACAAAGGTCATACTTCCTTCCAAAATAATAAACAATATTATAAAACAACGGATAAATAACCATAACAAGATTAACTACAAGCAAGAAAAAATGAAATACATAATTCAAAAAGGTGAAAGACATGAAAATTTATCATGAGAGGCGACGCCATTTACTCACTCGTTTTCTAAAATCCGCATATGGTAAGCAGTAACCACAAAGATTAGAAGCTTAAACTTGAAAAAATCTTTCCTAGTATACCTTCCCGATAATTTATTGAAACCATTGCTAAAACAAGATTCATTATTTGAAATCTTAAAATTTTATTCTCCAAATAAGTTATCTCAACAAGTGCTAAACAACTAAACAACTAAACAAGAGAACTCAGTTAAATATAATCTGTCCAAGCCAAAAAAAAAAAAAACCCATCAAAATGAACCTTGCAGTCTCGTTAGCTCGTCTTTTTCATTTCTCAGCAAAGAAACAGCCTACTATTAACAAATCACAAATCACTATCACGTATAAGCAAATACGACCTTAATCAATAATAAAAATAAATAAGAAAAAATACATGGAAAAAGATCTTCACAGAATTTTCTGAAAACATTAAAACACAGAAGTCGAGCAAAATAACAACATATAAATAAAACCAATTCGTGGATCAGAACAAGAAAATCTAAGAGATCCGAGGTTAAGAGATAGATAGATAGATAGAGAGAAATATTACTGAATCCATCGTCGACGAGGTAGTTGAAGGTGTGCCCGTCGCAGTTGTAAGTGAACTTGTTATTGGTGGCGGGAAGCTTCTGGAGGCACTGAGAAGCTATGCTGGTGAAGTTTCCGGTGAATTCGGTGTATTCCGCAAGAACCACCGTTCCACGCGCCACGAAACTGTAGATCAGCGACTGTTGCCCCATCGACGCGCCACCCCAACCGTAACCCTAGGAGAGAGAAATCGAAACACTCTGAGGAATAGATTTCTAGAGAGAGAAAGAGCCCTGAAGGTTTAGGGTTTTTTTAGCAGAAAAGACGAGAGAGAGATAGGAACGAAGAAGACGATCTTCTTGTTATTCTTCCTAGAGAGAGAGAGAGAAAGAGAGATTGTTGTGTTGTTTTCGCTTGAATGGTAAGAAAGGTAGCGGGGGTGTCTCTGTTGTGAGTTTGTTAAGCTATATACCCTCCAATATCTATTGAAATATCGGAAATGACATTGCCCATTAATAAAAGCAAGAGCGGCTGGTTTTTGAATTTTGTGCAATGTTTGAATTCAACACGGTTGACACCTGAATGTCCGACGGTCTGCGATTGTCCGTCTAGAAGTTTTTTCACTAACGTCCTCATTTTCATGGATTATTTTCAGAAATGACCCTTAGAATTTTCACTTGCTTCACTTTAATCCTCGATGTTCACGTTGAAAGGTACAGCTTCTCACATATTTCTAAAACACGCAATTTTACTTCGTTCGACAATATACTATCTATTATTATATAATATCTAGAGAAATAAAATGTAAAAAAAAAAGAGAAAATTTATGGTACTTCTTCCCTATCAGTACGGTAAATGTTTATAACCTTGATTATCATTTGACGGTTCAGATCAAAAAGATGCATCAAAATAATTAAAAACTAGATCACACCCAATTATTCACAAAAGAAAAAGATTACACCTTATCCTTTTTTTAAAAAAAAACTAATAGAAAAGACCCAAATAAAAAAAAAACACTGCCGTTAAATGAATAATATTATTAAATATATTTCTATTTATACAACAAATATTTAATGATATTTATATTTCAAAATATTATTAAATACAACAAAAACGTTTTTATTTCTATTTTCATTTAAATAAATAATAGTATTAAATAAATAATATTATTAAATATATTAAATAATAATAATATTAAATATATTAAATAATAATATATTAAATAATAATATTATTAAATAAATAATATTATTAAATATATTAAATAAAATCATTATATAAGACAAAAACAGTTTCAGAAAAGAGAGAGAAGAAAATGAAAAAAAAAAAAATGAAATCCGTTTTCAGAAAACGAAAACGAGAAAATGAAAACACATTTTTTTCGTTTTCAATTTTTCACAAAAGACAAAAACGGTTTTGTTTTTGTTTTAAAAAAATTTTTAGGCCAAACGTATTTTCTGTTTCCGTTTTCATTTTTTAGTCTCGAAAAACGTAAAAAATGGAAATGAAAACGGAAACAAACAGGGCCTACGTTTCTAATCCGCCGACGATGAGCATGACACTAGCGAGTGCCGACAAGGACGCGAGGAGAGGTTGAGCAGCGATCCCCATCCCCTAACAGTGTTCTGTTCACCATCTTCACGATCGATTCTGATTTTACCTCATCCTTCCCTCTTATCGTAACCATTCCATCGATGGGTCTGCATTGTTGACTAACTTGTGGGTTTCTATTAGAATTTGGAATCAGATTATGGGTATGAAGAACTCGGTGGTAATAAGAGTGTTTGTTGTTGAACTTTCATTCGGTGGTAATAAGAATTCAAATTATAGGTATGAACTTTGCTTGTTAGAATTCAGTGATCATAAAACTGAAATTTATGGGTATGAACTTTGTTTGTTGAAATTTTGTGGCAATACAATTGAAATTTTAAATCTTTCACATTCTTGTGGTCATGGTGGATATATGTAGTTATTCTTTATTGAGATTTTGTTCAGAGAATTTGATACTTTACTAATAGACTTTGCATATCCATTAATAATACCAAAACTATGTTGATGAGCAGTCAAATTCTTATGTGCAGTTATACTTGGAATATCCAAGCTTGAATGAACCAAAACCTTGAAAACAAAAGTACTATTTATTACTAGGTATTTCAATCACAAGTGTTGATCAAATTTTAATTTTTTTTTACTAGGTATTATCTTAATCACAAAATCTAGATGAAATTTGTTGAAATTGAAATTTGTTGAATGAATCAAAGCCTTGAAAGAGGAAGTACTATGTATTATTGGGTACTAATTTTCTCATTTAGAGTTCGTTTTGATGGAATAAATGAGGGTGAGGAAGGTCATCGGAGGCGGTGATGAGGTCCTGTGACGCTCAACCATAGGTGGTGCCGGTAGGGCGGAGGACTTCAACGGCGTTTGTGTTTTAATCAAATCTGGGTTTGGGTATTATCACCAATTTAAACTTGAATTCAAGAATATATTTTTCTTTAATTAATCGAGTGTAAACTATTCTATAGTTATTTGGTGCATCTTTTTAATCTGAAACATTAAATAACAATCGAATGGTTGTCAATATTCGCCTTACTAGTAGGGGTAAAGTACACCCCCTACTATAGACTTTCTCAAAAAAAAAAAAAAAGGGAAAGTCTATGATAGGGGATGTACTTTTCCCTAGGTAGGGTGAAAAATTTACACCTTTTAATCAAACGGTCAAAAATGATTAAAGATTACCACAATTAAAATAGGTGAGGGTGCCGGAGGCTAAGAGTCACGATGGCTGGGCGTGACGGGGGTGAGGCAAAGAGGCGGTGATGGGTCGCGGGAAAAGATATATTATTGTTCTTCAAATATTTTTATTGGGTTTAGCTACTCAAAAGAAAAAAAAATCCTTTATTTTTTTCAGATCTATTTTTTAATCATTCTACCTCTTAAAACCCTTTTTAAAAATGAGTTGACTAATATTTTTTATTTCTTTGCTTGATTAATCCTTCTTTATTTGTGGAACGGTTAAAAATTGAGCTATAAGTTGCAACAAACCATGGTCGTGATGTTTCCAAGCAAAAAAAAAAAAAAAAAAGGAATTATTCTTTTTCAAAATAAAATTTAACAACTGGAAGTATCATTTATTAAGTCGGTTCAACCAAATCAACAAAGCCTAAGAATGTTTGCCTTGGTCTACTAAAGTTTGGATTGAATGATTCCTCTTATGATTACTGTCACATGTAACTTATTCAAAATCTATTGATAAGTATATCTTTTTTTATTATTCCACGGGGAAAAATAGGCCATGAATTAATAGGTTATCATTCAAATATCGCAATTACATAAAACTAGTTAACTTAATTTAGAAATAACGTTAAGTTAATCACTATCAGGCGATATATATACATACATATATATATATATATATATATATATAGATGGTAAAAAGAAAAAGGTTACAAAAGACCAGTCTGATGTCCGAACTATATGTTGCAATCCAATGGACACTTGACCTGTAAAATGATGGTTTCCATGCATGGCTGCAATAATGCCAACTACAGCTCATCTGATCTACCTAAAGCCAATCTCTCTGCATAATATTAGATCCATTCCATTCAACTAATATAAATCTATTTATTTTAAAATAAAGGTCAGTATATTTGATCTACCTAAAGCCAATCTCTGCATAATATTAGATCCATTCTGTTAGTACCGGTTTGAGTCTTTTAAAACTTTATAAGACAATATGAATAATGCAGAAACATAAAATAAAAGAACATGAGAGAAATGATATCGCGGTTCGGTAACACCCTACTCCGCGGGGCCATGCCCAGATGATGAACAATCCACTAAGAACTCTTTTACAATTCAATTGGACTTAATCTACCCGAGACTCCCTCTCTAAGAAGACGCATATAAACTTGCAATTTCCCAATGGACTTGAACAGTGAGATCCCCTCAACTTTTGAACATTGGAATCCCTCCAACTAAGTTTTTCTCCCGAAAAAAACTCTCAAATCATCTCTCTTGAATACAAGTGCTCACCCTGTCTCACAACCCAACAAAAACTCATCAAAAGGCGTACAAAGACTTAAGTGACACTTTCAATAAATAAGCAAGCTGTGAATAGCTTGACACGTCTTCAATTAATTCGCTGAACCAAATCTGTTGCAACAATAACTGCAACATAGCTGTCACGGTCAACTTTCTCAAAACCATACGAATCAATCTCCTTTCATTATGAAATCTTCCCAAAACTAATAAACGAACCTGGACACGTTCTTAGGCGACAAAAGAAGATCATCCAGCTATGAAATCTTAATCAAGAATCAATCAAATCAATTTTCCATATTTGAATCAATAGTTGACTTACAAAAATAGAAACTAAAACAAGTTTACAGATCTTTTAGTAACCTTCTATAAAAAGCTGACCAGCTGTACATCTATTTTCAAACACAATCAACCAGCCAAACATTTTCAAAATAATACCAATCAAATACGATTAGAATCAATACACAAATTGGGAAACAAATCCCAACAATCTCCGGAAATAAATCCCAACACATTCCACTCAACTCATATAAATTCTATTTATTTTAAAATAAAGCTCTGTATATTACAAAGACTTTATTTATTTCTTTTTGCTAGACCAGAATAGCAAAATTAGAAAACTAAAGCAGTAAAGCGTATGATGAGTTCATAAAATCATAAGCACTCTTCAAAGCGGTTGATGAGTTATAGCATGATTAGATTTTCTCAGTAAGGAATAAAAAATATGAGATTTGTATAGGATATATTCTTTAAATTAAATAGTGATATGTTGCTTGGTGGCCAATGCATCCTCGAGGAATAAGAATTTGTTCTTATTTAATTAAAATTGCAAAACTAGAGTTATCTTGTGACAATTAAAATACTATTAAAGATTCCAACATGAAAAGAATGTTTAACTTTTGTTGTTAAAAAAAAATCCGCACGCAGTATAACACCTACTTGGCTGTTTTTAAATCCTTTCTGGATGGCCACATTGTTTGCTTAATCTTTTTGTAATTTAGAACAAGTTATGTGTTAAAAATATATACATATACATATATATGTGTGCGCGCATGTGTCTATCAGAGATTCTAAACTAAATAATATTTGTCACATGGAACACGGCTCTAGAACATATCGGGTTAACGAAACTCAAGGATATTGGCTCATCATAAGTCATAACTAGATAAAACAACAGACAACAAAATTTACAAATGAGGAAATTTCAACACTTAACAAAAACATGGACTTTAAAGACAACTGCCACAACTTTAAGGCTTAGATTGACTTGTGTCGAAAAAAATTTCATTGTGAAGATTATCCCGCCAATTCTTAAAGTACCAATCAGTATCTGGTACCCGCTCATGATACCGTCCGGTAATCGGCGATATCCACCATGATACCGATTGGTTACTATCTATGATACCAGCATCCTGTTGTAGTACTGGCTGGTATCTATTGTTGCCGACATCGCCAGTGGCTTACCGACCAGCAACCAGCGGTATCTACCATGATACAGGTTGGTTACTAATCATGATACCAGTGGCTTACCAGCCGGTAACCGCGGTATCCACTATGATACCGGTTGCTATGCTATTGGTCATGAATTGTTCTCTGAAATTTCAGAAGTTAGTCGTCAATTTCTATATCAAGAATTAAAAATTTTCAAAAATGAAATTTCACAGAACAATATATCAAGAAAAAAGTTTGGAGACCAAAGTGGCAAAATAGTTTTCCATCTTAACGAGCTTCGACAAAATGAATACTACCACTGCTGACAACAAATCTGGAATGAATGGCACTAGGTTGCAATTTTCCATTGTTTCAACATCAAAGAATAATTCTTGAATAAATGAACCGAATACCTTCCACACGTCAAAAGAGTAGAAGAGAGAGTTTGCACACAGACAATACAAACACTGTCTTATAATATAGGGCGCTATATCAAAATGTGAGATAGCAGACAAAAATAATTGTGACAGGACGGGTAATGCAAAACTGTACAGGAACTCCAATCCTTAGTCATGAAGACGGTTCAAATAGGGCGCGAAGAGGAACCATCAACAATTGAAGCCTCCGCAAACAGATAGAACAACAATGAGAATAAGCGCGACTAAGATACCCAAAACTGTTAGCTTTATCTTCATGTTCTGCAACCACATCTTCCTCCTCATCTGGGCGCCCCGCTGCCTGAGTTCTTGTGCCTGCAGAATATAAATTTAAATACATTTGCCAAACGAGCCTCGAGTGTTTTTAGGTGGTTTCTTAACTCATTAGCTGTGGAAAGAGAAAAACTTGCAGGCTCCACCTACCGCTTATTGTCTTGTAAATCAAATGATTCTTATTATCTAACAACTTGACCCTTGTCTATAGTTCAGGACCACTTAAAGGGCAAAATAGACGTATTAAAAAGCCTGAAATCATACGAGTCTGTAAAACCAACTAATTAGATGCTGACCTGAGACTGAAGTTTCTGTGTTTTATCCATCAGAACTTCAATCTTCACTCCACTGTCAACGACCTGCTCGGAACAAATATGTATATATATATATATATATATAATCAAAAGACGGCACGTAGCTCCTGGTTTCTAAAGTAATGACCAACTATAAAATTCAATCTCCTCAGCACCCAAAAATAAAAAATAAAAAAACATAAGGGCAGAAGGGAAAGGAAAAATAGAGAGAAGTATGTTGCAAAAAAGAAAAAAAGAAAAAAAAAAAAAAGAAAAGGAATTCTCTCGCTTGTTTTGAAGTTTTACGTTAACAATCAAAGAGGTTGGCAACAGTGCCTTACCTTTTCAATATTCTCCCTCATAACTCCTTTAATGTCTGAGACTTGAGCTTTAACTTTAGCAAGCTTGTTGATCTCCTCCTGATGATCCACGCAATACTGCATGTGCTCCTTCAATTTGGGCCTACAACGTTTTTTTTTTTTTTTTTTTTTTTTTTGGGCAAACTTTTTGCATTAGAGTAATTTATTCATGAGTGACAAATTCTGTCTATTTCATGGATTATCGAAGAAAATAATTTTACCCAAACTCCTTGTTCAAGCTACAAGCAACTGCTGTTGCAGCTTTTCCTCCACCACATCTCTTAGTAAAATCCTCCTTGATCCGCTCAAGAAAGGCAATTGGAATCTGTTGACCAACAGCCTCTACTGCGACCACACAGTAAGCTGCAACATTCAAGGGTCATCTGAGTTCAAGTTTTTTAGATAAATGAAGTGCTGGTGTCAAGAAATGAGAAAACAAGAAATGAAAGAATCCATATTCTACAAACTTAGCGCGTACCAATTAATGGTGATATTTGTTTATATGATAGTAAGTCTTATATATGCAACAACGGAAACGAAAAGCCTAATCTGACCTCCTTTTTGAGGTTTTATTATACTATACATACGGGACGAGAGAAGCACATATCTTAATTAACACGACAACATAAATCACCCGGGAAGAAGACCAGTAGTATTCTATACGAGATTTTTTTTGGAAATAAAGGTCATACTTTCTTCCAATTAATAATAATAACAATAACAATAACAAATAATAATAATAACAATAAGAATAATAGCAGTAATAATAACAATAACAATAACAACAACAACAACGATAACAACAGCAGCAATATAATAAAAAAATAACAATAACAATAATAACAGCAATAATAACATTAATAAAAATAAGAATAACAACAAAACAATAATAAGAATAAATAATAACAATAACAATAATAGTAATAATAATAACCATGACCAAAACCCGCATAAGAGCCGACATCATTTGCTCTCTCTTTTTCTTAAACCCGCATATGGTAAGCAATAAGCACAAAGATTAGAAGCTTAAAGTCGATAAATCTTTCCTAATATACCTTTCCGATAATTTATTGAAATATGTTAAAACAAGATTCATTAATCTGAAATTCTAAATTCTCTTCCCCAACTGATCAATTATCTTAACAAGTGCTAAACAAGTGAACCAACAAAATGAAACTCAGCAGTCTCGTTAGCTGTTGTCCTCCTTCATTTCTCAGCAACGAAACACCCGACTTTATATTAACCAACACAAATGATCACTATCACGTATAAGCACATACGAGCGTAATCAATAACAAAAATAAAAACTACATGGAAAAAGATCTTCAGAATTTTCTGAAAACATTAAAACATACAAGTCGAGCAAAGGTACAAATGATAAACAAGACCAAGTCGTGGATCATAACAAGAAAATCGAAGAGATCGGAGGTTAGGAGAGTACTAAATCCATCATCGACGAGGTAGTTGAAGGTGTGGCCATCGCAGTTGTAAATGAACTTGTTATTCGTAGCGGGAAGCTTCTGGAGGCACTGCGAAGCTACGCTGGTGAAGTTTCCGGTGAATTCGGTATACTCTGCGAGGATCACCGTCCCACGAGCCACGAAGCTGTAGATCAGCGACCGTTGCCCCATCGACAAGCAGCCTCAACCGTAACCCTAGGAGACAGAAAACGAAGCTCTTCAGAGCTTGAATGGTAAGAAAGGTAGCTAGGTTGTGAGTTTGTTAAGCTACCCAATGCCATTGACCATTAACAAAAGCAAGAGCGGCTGGTTTTTGAATAAATTTTGCGGAACATTTGAATTCAACATGGTTGACACCTGATTGTCCGACGGATTGCGATTGTCACTCTAGAAGTTTTTCCACGAAAGCTCCTATTTTTAAAGGTATTTCAGCAATGACCCTAAGGATATTCACTTTGTTACACTTTAATCCTCGATGCTCACCATAAAGGGTTGAGCTATCTCAATATTTTCAAAGTCCATAATTTTACACTTTCGATAATATCCTCCTGTCCTTTCTTTCATTTGTGAAAAAGTTATAAATTATAATGTTTGAAATTGAGTTATAAGGGGCAACAAACAATAGTCATTAATTTGTTTCTAAGCACAATAACAATTGGAATTATTCTTTTTGAAAAAGAAATAACAATTGGAATTATCATTTATTAATTCGGTGACGACCAAATCAATTAGAACGTTGCCTTGGTCTACTAAGTTTGGATTGAATGATTCCTGATCTTATGTCACTGTCACGTGTAACTTATTCAAATTAGTTATAATAAGTATATCGTTTTTTGATTATTCCACAGGGAATTACGCGTTGAGGAGGAAAAAAATAGTTTGCTATTTACATAGTCATAATTACGCAAACTGGTCAACTCTGCCATTCTAGAATTAAAATCTCTGCATGCAAGTTTTTTAACTGTTTAAAATTGGCCATAAGATTTAACTTTTCAATCTGGAACGCTAAATTATCATCAAGCGATGGATACACGCACATATACGGAGGGTAAAAAGAAAAAGGTTAAGACCATTGTGATGTTCCTATGAACGCTCGTGCAATTGCAACTGTCATATATATATATATATATTTTCCATGACGTGAGATTCTAAACTAAATAATATTTATCACATGGAACACGGCTCTAGAACATAGAGATCAGATAGTATATCGGGTTAAGGAAACTCAAGGATATACGGTTTATAAAAATAAATAAAAAGGATTATTCTCACTGGTGCCTTTAAATTTTAAGATTATTTTCAGTTTATTTCTTAAATATTAAAAACTCTTATTTTACTTCATGAATTTTAGATTATGCTCACTTAACCCCTTTTGTCATTATTTCTATTAAAATCAGATAGAAAATGAGGGATTAAGTGTGATCATGATTTTTATATGTTACTTTTTAACAGAAATCTAAACAGAAAGACTACGTGACTACGGTTATTTTCTTTTTTTCTATCTATTTTCAACATAAATTACAACATAATAGGTTAAGTTGAAACAATTCAAAATTCAAGAGGTAAAGTTAGAGTTTTTAAAGTTCAGGGAACAAATTGATAATGATTCTAAAATTCAGGGGCATTAGTAATAATAATCCTAAATAAAACAAACACAAGATTTACATATGTCCCCAATTTAAGTTTCTTAACTTCCAAATTTAAAAATCTCTCATTCGCCCCCCTATTTTAAAAAGTGGCGAACCCTTCTGTCCCTTAAATAGAAGGAAAAGTTAATGCGGCACTAAATGAAGGATACATTTTATTGAGAATTTCGATGTTAGGAATGATTCTTTTTTGCTAACACTAGGTATTATTTTAGCCATTGGATTAATTTTTTTACTGTCTGATCTACTTCAAAAGTTTTATAAAAATAATTACATTCACTCAGACATAATTACATTAAATGAAATTACTGTTTTTAAAAAGCCATTAATAAAAATTAGACCATTTTGCAGTCGATGTAACTATTTCTCTAAAAAAAAAAAAGTCCAATTTGATTTTAAATTAATTTTCTATAAATATTTTCTTACTTTGCAGAGAATAAATTAAGGAGTTTCACTAGTAGCTTTAGAAAAAATAAAATAAAATAAAATAAACTATTGGTAATTTTTTACTTTTAATCGTTAGATAATTTGTACGAGAAATTATGTCATATATCTTTTTAATCTGATGTGATTTTGACTAGATTTAATAGTTAAAAACTAACTCTATTGATAAAGAAGCTCTATCAGAGAAAGCCTTAATAAATTATATGATTGATTTTAGGGAAAACAACGGATTGGTTTCTCTGAAAAGAAAAAGGAATAAATTTCTGAAAAAAAAAGTTAATTATTTTGAAACGTTAAAATTTTGAAGACCAGAACTATAGGAGTTATCCGTCTCTTTTATAAATGCAATAACCTCTTCTTTTTTTTTTTTAGGAAATGTAATAGTATCTTTTTATTAATTTCATCAAATTGATACGAGGAAAATATTTTTGCTCTCTGTTTTTTTTAAGGAAAGTTGAGTAATATTATTAATGAGCTAAGTCGGCTTTAACAAAACGAGCAATAAATCACGAGATTCGGTTTAATCTCAAAAAGTTTGATACGTACTGATAAACAGATTTAGCTAAAACATGAGCAATCAGGCTCTTAACATAACAACACTGTCAACCTAAAATAGAGGAAAATAGGCAAAGAATGTCTTGAATTATGACACAATGAATTTATCGATTTTTAATTAGACGAGAGATTTTTGTTATTATGCCTAGACTCCAAAATAATACACCATTATTTTTCCCCCACGAAAACGACATTTTCCCTCAAAATCTTGAAACGACATTTTCCCTCAAAATTTCGTTGTCGTTTTAAGGAAAACGACACGCAATACGTTAGTTACGCGTCGTCCTCCTTCACCAGTTATTTCTTTGGATAGATCCGAGCATCCGAACCCAATTACCTGTGGGTTCCCGTTTTGACGAGAGGTTTTATTTTCCGTTTGGTTGACGAGAAAAAGAAAAGGCGAGAAAATAAGGAGAGAAAGTGACTCGAAAAATGAGCGGTGGGTTTGCAGCTTCGGCTTCTCCACCCATTGTTTCTTCTTATTTGCCTTCTAAATCCAAAACACGCCATTGCTATTCATCGAGCTTTGTCAATCCTTGTACTACAAGTAGTACAACTACCCCGGATTTCAAGCCCAGAGCCATCAGATTTTCCAAAGCAAACGGATCTCAGACAAGACTACGAGTTTTCAATAGCAGTACGAGACCTGGAGGAGGTTTCTCTCTCTCTCTCTCTCTAAAATTTTGCGTCCATAAAATTCAATGTCTTGTTGGAATTTACTGTACAAGTTCATCACAATTCTCTGTCTTTCACTTTCAATTCGACGGATAACTATTTATAAGTTTCTTTGTAAAATTCGACCATTTATTTGGGAAAACCGTGCCTTTCTCATACTTTTTGCTCTCCGAGTGTATTGCAATTAAAGGTTTGAGGTTATTAAGAATATGTGATATGGCTTTAATTTTTCTTTTGCTAAGTAAGAGAAAGAGTTTTGTTCCTATTGAACTTATTAGACTAGTCCATAATGATTAAGTTTATGTGGCTCATGTCATGGCAAAACAATTAAAACAACTTATAGTTGTTTATTATTGTCTTGAGACGATTTCTATATGTTTTATATGATGTCAGAACTGAATTAACTGAATGTTGCAGGTGATAATGAGAGCAAAAGTGTTTTGGACGCATTTTTCTTGGGAAAGGCTCTGGCAGAAGCATTGAATGAGCGTATTGAGTCCGCAGTTGGGGAGTTTTTTAGCACAATTGGTCGGCTGCAATCTGAGCAACAAAAGCAAGTGCAGGAATTCCAGGTAAAGAGCCTTTTGAGTTGCTTTCTTCAGTTTCACTACAGGTTCATGAGCTTTTCTTGTAATACCTACCGGATTAGACAAAGTTGGATTATTCTGAAACATTTTCTTTTAAGTTCATTTTTCTTTTAAATATTGAAAAAAAAAAAAAAAAAAAGAAAGAAAAAAAGGAAAGCTTAGGCAATTGTGCCCCACCATGAAAACAAT